GGTCACTCGGGGGAAGCTGCCTGGAGAGAAATCACATCTCCTCCTCCTCCCTGCAGCCTCTGCGCCTGGGAAAGGGCACAGAGCTCCTGGCCGCGAGGCCTGGCCCTGTTGGAAATAATTTCCTCGTAGCAGCGTGCCAGGCCGGGGCCCCCCGGCACCACTTGGGGCCCTGCGGGGTGCGAGGGGACGTGTGGGGTGGGGAGGGAAGCCGTGAGCATGGCCCCACTGCTGTGGAGCCAGGACACGGGATGGGATCGGCCCGGGCGCTGCCGGGAAGGGAAGTGACCCCTGGGAGAGGGAGGCCTGGAAAGGCAACAACCAGTTTATTTTGGAAGCGCAGGGAAGGATCCAGCCTGGGCTGGTGTCACGCTGTCCTTCCCGCCCGGGGACAGCAGATGCTCCGTGTCACACGCAGCAGGCCAGGCAGTGCGTGACAGAGGGTGGCCGAGAGGCTCCCACCGAGGAGGATGGGGAGGAGGCGGCGGTGCAGCCCCTCCTGGGTGCGGGAGGCCAGCGGAGGGGAGCAGGAGCGGGTGAGCGTGTCGCTGGTGGGGGCACAGGCTGTGCAGTTGTTGGCCGAAGCGCCCTGGCACGTGTAGCAGGAGGGGTGGCAGCTGGCACAGATGCGGGTGACGCTGGCGGCGGTTCGCTGGAGGTGGCCGTAGTGGCGTGGAGGGCACACGGCCAGGCAGGAGCCTCGGTGGGTGTACAAAGAGCTGCTGCACGCTGCGGGGGGCGGGAGGCCTGAGCCGGGCTGCCCCGGAGCCCCAGCACCGACCCCTCTGCCCTGAGACTCACCCTCGCACGCTCCCCGAGCGTCCCGCCTCAGGCACCCGTCCGGGGCAGAGGCTGCCGAGCGTCTGTCTGCCATGGGCCCCTCTGTGCCGTGGAGGTGCAGGGTGAGGCTGCTCAGCAGACCTGGGGGCAGGAGGGACAGGGCTGGGTGCTGGTTCCCACCCTGTGGTGTTTGGGGGCTGGGTGCTGGTTCCCACCCTGTGGTGTTTGGGGGCTGCAGGGTGGTGGGTGTGGGGCTGGAAGCCTCGGGGTTACATTGTTGGCGGGGGGAGGAACAAGCCATTCCCCCTTCCTGGCCAGAGAGACCCTCAAAACAAACAAACGTGGCCCTGAAGGAAAAGCAGGTTCACCTGCCCATGAGCAGCAGGAAAACAAGTCAACAAGTTGCTCATCAAAGTGGGGGATGGAAGAAGAAAGACTGACGGGGCACTGGGTGAGTCCCACGAGTGGGGTTTAGGCCCTGGGGACCCACCTGTGTTACCGGCGTCACCCTTGTTCTGGAGCTGGAGCGTCCAGGTCCCCTCAGGGTTCTCGTCCCAGAAGTGTGTGGACATGAAGGTCCAGTCCTTGTAGCCCTCCTGGCTGGTGTCGTAGGGGCTGGAGGAGAGGAGAGCTGAGGGGGGGGTGCAGCCCACGGGGGCCCTATGGTCACCCTGTTGTCGGTGTCGGGGGCATTGCCAGGACGTGGCAGGACACCAGGGTGAGTCTGTTCACTGCGGGGGCCAGGAGCAGCCACTGATGTGGGGGAGAGGAGCCCCCCCAGTCCTTACCGCACGCTCACCAGTGTGGATGTGGTCCCCATGGGGCTGGTCAGAGCCATCTCCAGGTCCCCCCTGTGGCTGTAGCTCAGGGACAGCTGGACCTGGACGTGCTCCAGCGCGCGGATGCGCCTGGTCCTCCTGGAGCAGGAGGAGACGTTTGTGGAGACGGTGAGCTGGGAGCCGATGGTCCTGCCAAGGGCGAGGTGGAGGGAAGGGCACCTCCTCCCCCCCGCACCGGCACCCCGCCCTCCGCCACCCCCCCTCCGGAGAAGCAGCGTCTGTTCCCGCAGCATCGCTTTGGTACCGGGGGGGGGTCCCTGGGTGAGGCCAGACCCGGGGGTGCGTCCCTTACCGGGGGGTGTGAAGGGCCTTGACCGAACACCTCCGCGGGGGGCGAGTCCCTGCCCACGCCTTGGCCATCTCCACCAGCAGCCCGTAGCCGTAGTAGTGGCTCACCGCAAAGCAGATCCCACCCCAGAGAGGCCCCGTGAGCAAGCGCCGGCCATTCCTGCCCCGGGTCTGCTGGCCGGAGTTTCTGCGGGGCAGCACGGCCCGAGGAGGCCGGGCTCAGCCTGCCCTGCCTGCCCCTGAGCTCGCCCCAGCGCCCAGCCCCGTTCGGGGCCCAGTCCTCCGCCTGCAGGTGAGCGGGCCGGGAGCTCCCGAGGACGAGGTGCTGCAGGTCCCGCCAGGTCAGCGCCGGGCTGGAGGCGAGGAGGGCGTGGGGACGGAGGCCTCTGCTTTGAGGTAGCTTTTGAGGGGGACATTGGGTTCTTCCAGCTTGTGGTGGGGGTAAGTTAGCTGGCTGCCTCCAAACTGGGCCACCCGCAACCTCCTTCGCTGCCAAAATGGGAGAACCAAAGACCTCCAGAGAACTCTCCTGCCTCCAGCTGCTCTCCCTCAGTGTCCTGGGAGAAGATGCTGCCCCACCAAAACCCCGGGGAGACTTCAGCTCCGCACCCCAAACCACCCTGGCAGCAAAGCCCCCCTTCCTTGTCCCCGCAAGGTCCTGGCGAGGCACCAGGCGCTCCCTGGGGCCCATCCTGCTGCTGAGATGTCACCTACTTGGCCTCCAGTGCGAGGGCGACCATTCCTGCGGCCAGCGGGGCCGAGGCCGAGGTGCCCGTGTGCTTGTCGGTGCAGCGGTGGTGCAGGTCGATGGTCACCTGGGGGGGGATTGGGGGGGTCTCAGCACCGCTGCCTGCTGCTGGCCCAGCAGGCCGGACTGCCTACAGTCAGGTAACCTCAGAAAATGCTCACTCTGGCTCCCTTTGTGCTTTTTGGGGTCTCGCAGACGCTTTATTAAAGCCCCCCGCTGCCTCCCCGGGTGAGGAGGGCCTGCACTCACGATCTGCGCCTCCTCGCCGCTGGTCCTGCTGCTGTAGGTGGTGGTGAGGATGGCGGAGCAGCCCTCGCCGTACCAGGGCCTCTGCCCCCCCGCCAGCACGCTGCCCACAGACAGGGTGTAGATGCTGTTGGCGTAGCCGTTGCAGTTGTTGTGGTTGATTCCACCGTTGCCAGAGGCCCAGATGTAGATGGAGCCGAGGCCACCTCGTCCCTGGCAAGGGGGGGGAGGCAGAGGGGGGTGAGCAGGGAGTCCTCGTGCCAGCAAGGTCCCCAAGGCTAGCGCTGAGCTTACTTTGGTGGCCCCTCTGTAGAAGGCCTCTGTGGCCAGCACCCCTGGCCTGTCCACGGTCTTCCCGTCGTCCTCGGGGCCCCAGCTGGCGCTGTAGATGTGGATGTGCTGGGGCCACAGGCTCAGGGCCTGAGCCTCCACCACGTCCGTGATGGGACCGTCCAGCATCCGCACACCTGCAGGGCCAGGATGAGGAGCAGCCACATCCGAGGGCCGGCACCGCTCATGAGGCCACGCTGGCTCCGGCTGGGCGGGACCCTCGCACGTGTCCCCCCAGCGGGAGGGCTGAGGGGCCTCTCGCCGATCCCCTCTTCACACCCCTCGTTGCCTTGAGCGCCTTTCCCACTGCGCTGCCCCGAGGAGATCACGCTCCTGCAGGTCTGGGAGCTGGTTCCCAAAGCTCCTTGTTAAGCCCTTTGCAATTAAGCCCAGTGAGTTCTCCCAGCTTTTAACCCCCTTTGCCCCACTCGCTTCCACGGGGGAGCCTGAGCCTGCATGGTGTCGCCTGCACCGTGGCCAGATGTGGGGTAACACTGCAGCACCCTCTCGTCCCCTGTAAGCCCCTGGAGCCACCCTGCCCGAGGCCCCGTGTCCCCCTGAGGTGCTGAAGCTGGTTTGGAATTTCCATCCCACCAATGCGCCGGAGCAAGGGCTCACCCCCGACTTTGGCCTTGTAGGCGACACCAGCTCCACAGATTCGGTTGTTGGCTGCAGCCGCCACTTCTCCCGCACAGCGTGTCCCGTGCCTGAGGGACAGCGGGAGTCTGGGGGGGCTGGAGGGGCCCAGGCCAGGCTCTGCCCCCGCCCTGAAGAGCTAAAGCACCCAGCCCAGGGTGCTGGGCAAAACTCACCGGTTCTCGTCCCCGGTGCTGTGCCTGGGCTGAGGGTGGGGTCGTTGCTGTTGAAGTCGTAACTTGCCAGGGGGGTCCTATTGCAGAAAAACCCCACCGGGATGAGCGAACGGCCTCTGGTGCGGGTTGTGTCACCTCGCCTGCCTGCTGGCCCCTCACCTGGAGCCTGGCACTGGGGATCGCCCTGCCTCCCTGCCAGCTCACTGCCTGCCCGGCCCGGAGAGGGAAGAGGGGGCCCCTTTGCACCCCCCCAACTGCGCTGGGTTAACCTGGAGCTGTTGGAAATGGGGTTGCGTTAAAGGAGTGTGATTTCCCCTGTCACTGTGCTGCTTCGCTGGGCCCAGGCTCGCGTGGGGGGAGAAAGGGCACCATGGGGTGTCACTCGGGAGGGGGGAGCCTCACCGCCCCTGCAATGAGGAGAGAGTAACTACAAAAAACGATGTTGTTTTGAACAACTAAGCTTGACCTACCCTTTCCTCTCAGCTCTTGGAGCACGTGAGGATTTACCAGCTTTACTGGCTCGGCAGCTTGCTGTAATTACGTCTATTTTGGGGGCTTGAGTGTGTACAAGTCCTAACGTTTCCTTGATGTGAGAATTCACTGCGGGAGACACCAAACCTTTTGATCCAGCCCCAGCGAGGCTGAGTTTCCACCGCACAGTCCCATGGGCGGGATGAAGGCACCAGCTCCCACCCTCCCCTGGAGACAACCCGCCCCGCAGGAGCCGGTTCCTGCAGCCCATCGTAGTTACGTAGTTGGCAGACAGGTCCGGATGATCCTTCTCGATCCCATCGTCCAGGATGGTCAACACCACCCCCAGCCCGGTGTACCCTTTGCTCCAAGCAGTGAGGATGTTTAGATCAGGATTGATGTCATTATTCTGGAAAACGGATTAAAGTTGATCAGCCCCCGGGGAAGCAGCAGGCTGCAGGTGACCTTCAAGGCCTCTTCTGCTGCCTCATCACCGCCAGCATTAGTCCTGTTTACGCATCGGGGAGGCGAGTTGCTTGAGGATTAGAAGAGAGAGCGGCAAAATCTCACCATGTACCACTGTTTATGGAACCAGGGATCTGCTGGCACCACGCTGACGCTTCTCTTTGTGCGTCTCTTTACGGTTTGCTGCTCAAACCAGAGGACCTGGGTGGGAAGCAGCGTTGTGGGTGGCCAGCAGAGCCTGCCACCATGGCGTGTGGTGGCCTTGCTCCCTGCAGCCGCCCCCTCCCTACCTTTGGCTCTTTTCTCAGGCGCATGTTCCAGCCCCAGTGTCTGCTCAGGGCTTTCTGCCTGGTGCCTCGGTGTTTGAAATGGTAATAAGGCTCCCCCTCCATCACCTGCAGGCACAAAGAGCTGTTGTAAGAGACTTTTCTAGGGCTGGGGATACCTGTGCCAGCTCTGCGTGGGCCGCAGAGCTCAGAAAGATGCATTTAGTGGAGTTGTAGGTGATGGGACGGGCAGAAAGTGTCCCTTGGTGACAGGATAGGCTCCTGGGGATGGCTGGTGTGTGGCCTTGGGGTTTCCTCGCTCAGCCCCGCAGACGTAGACGCCGTTAGCGACACGCACCCCCTCTGTGCTCCTGCTGACGGGATTGAAAACCATAGCGGGGAATAACCGAACGCTCCCTTTTTAACGATAAGCCAGCTGCCGCTCCGGGACAGCTGCTGGGGGTGAACGGAGGGGACAAAGCAGAGGACATGGCGGGGGGACACCGCGGGGTGTGGATGGGGGTGCAGGGCTTGCCCCCGTCCCCCCCCCCGTGCCCTGCACCCGCCGACCAGCCCGCACCTGGCCCAGGCAGAGCAGGCCGAGCC